TTAGGAACCTCCGCCCATTTCCATCAGGAACAAATAACCATTCTACCCGATGCTACCTGAGCTTGGTAGTGCTCCGAAGCATCGGGTAGCATTGGTAGAATGGTCAGTGTTTCCTGATGTCGTGGTCATCTCGTCGACAAGATCCCCGTACGGACCCTCAGGCTCACGCTTCGGGTCTTTTCCCGCGGCTCCTCTAGGGTGAAGAGCTCGGAGCTCCTGGTGGTGTGTATAAATTTTTTGCCTCTACATTGGCAGTAATGATTGGCGCAGAAGAAGTAGATGGTGGGGGAGGTAGTGAAGCGGGGCTATTACGTGAGGATGACTTGGGAAGAGGGCTAGTATGAAGATCCGAGGCTTACTCTTCGATTCAGAGCGAACCGTTTATGAAACAATCTGTCTTCGTATAAAGCAACTATCCTCCAAGATAGCAGCCAAAAATGTCAAGATGGCGAGGACGGGAGAGAGAGACACAGGCGCTTCGAGTTTTCGCCCATTGCCCATTCCGGTACTCACAGCGGCTTTGTGGTGGCCACGTGAAAGCATCGAATTTGCGAGTTTATGAGCTCATCTGCGAGTTCGCTGGGCGAATGCCGCTAGAGAAAGCTTAGCTTGTCATCGTGCAGCCTCATCATGGAGCATCATGGCCACACAACGAATATAAACTCACCATCTGAGATACCTGTCTCTATAGGGCGCGCATGCAGCCGTAATCAATAACTGGGCCTCGGCCACCGAGATTTTTGCAGCAAGCCGCGTGCGCCATGCAAAGTCCTCTGTATATCTGGTACGGCGTGCATCGTCACCGATGGTATGCAGGCGCTAGATCGCGGCCTGCGGTTGCGCTCACGAACATTACAGGGACGTGGAGCTCCGTAACTTGGTACATTTAGACAGGCATAGTACGCAGGTTGAGGAGTGATGACAAGATGGTGGCAAAGTCACACAACCGTTAGCACAAGTGCGGGCTGACGCCCTCTGGATCATACACAAGATGTTCTTACGCGAGAGGCGAGCATCCCGCAGAAAGAACATACCACTTAACGTTAGTATATAGGTCATTGTATACCACTGATAATTTAAATAATTGCTCACACCAGTGCCAGTAATAACGAGATCAAAGTCGAAGTCGAACATTCAGCGGGCGGTTATCAGCAACGGCGCGGAGGAGCGCATCACCGAGGACGTATCGGGCGCTACGAAGTAGCGCAGCCTATATAAGTCAACCCTGCTCTGCTTTCGCCGCAACCGACACAAGTACTGCACCTTCTTCAAACAATATCCATAGGCGAAAAAAGTTGTTCGCGATTTTATGACAAGGTATCAAAGTGTCTGCCACCACAGCTGCTGTAAGTATGCGGGCTGAAGAAATAGTACGTCCCATATGTCCGTTGCTGATACGATAACTCACAAGCATTTATTCACAAACAGACTCCACATAATCCGCTAGTAGAACATGCTCCACGAAATGCGCCACTATATTCCAACGACAATTGGTCGCAGCATCAAGGAGGCCATAGCTCATGCCTCTTTATACTTGCCCTCGGTTGGGTCGCATCGGACACCACGCTGCTCATTTTTGATCGTATAGAAAGTGAGATATGTGCAAATTGGAGTATTGACTATTGCTAAGCCATCGTTCAAGATGCAGTCACGGTTCTTGCTGCCTCGCAGACTGTAAGTCCCAAGGCGAGCCGGAGTTGCTGCTTCCAGGCACATTCGAGCTTTCAACATTATCTGCAATAATGAAAGTCTGCTGGACGATGGAGTGGCAACGTACGGATAGCCTGAGGCCTAAAACTGCTCCAACGACCCAGCCTACGACAGGAATTTCACGTGGTGCGTGAAGGTCCGATTTTTGATGAGCCGAACCTCAGAAAGTAGTGTCTTACTCGTGCTGCGTACGCCATAGGTTGGGATGCCGAGACTGTTGACCTCCGTGCGACAGATTTTGTTCTAGTAAAAGAGCTATATCTAGGATCTCGACGCCCGTCTTCCTCGTGCGAAATCATCAGTGTAATGGCGCTCAAACTCTCGCATTGATTCCACGATGTGCGTGTCTCTGACTCTCTCTCTACACTTCCATCTCTACTCTTTCCAACTGACGTTAAACCGTCATGTTTTTTAGTCATCGTCTGTCGCCCGCTCCGGATGAAATCTATGCGTCTAGTCTTGAGACACTTCACCTAGGTCTGTAGTTGATGAACAAAGAGGTAACCGTGTACGGGTAGCATCGAAATACAAGCACTCTAGGCCGGCAGGCACGCTGACCATGTATGTCGGGTGGCTTATCGGCGCAAATCCGACTAGCAGCGGTTCCGCCCCAAGCGATTAGAATGCCCTTAGACGGAAGCGCTGTGGGCGGCGGCTTGAGTGTCATGTACGACATCACGACGACGATATCACACTACTCACGGAAGGACGACACCGAAGATGATTGCGATGGCATAGATAACGACAACAGGAGCAATGCGAGTGTAGCGACGAGCGGGATGATGCTGTAGGTGACGAACGAAAGTTGATGCCATGCTCAGCGGAATGGGTGCTGTAACGAGCCGTAATCTGCTAAAACGATACCATGGACGGGAAGATGGAGGACATAGTACTTTACACCCATCCTCAGTCGGATGGTATACACATCTTCGTCCTTATTCGTTAGCCTGAGAAGCGAGCCTCCGTTAAGTGACATTGGCCTGCGTTGACATCGTGAGCACACTCAAGCTCGACGACGGTCGCAATACGGCGCAATTAGAGAGCACGACGTCTCAATCGAGTCAAGGGTGATAGACGAGCGGGAAAGATGTTGAAGAAGCATGATACCAGCTGAATCAGCTGAGGTGCTCGAGTATGCATAGCTGACGTCCAGGCTGCTACGTTCTGACGTCCAAAGGACGAAGTAGAGGCTTAAGGGGATCTTTCTCCGTGGCTAGGTGATGTTGAATGCAGAGTCAAAAGAGAAGTCTGGGGCGTATCAATTAGTGGGAGCAGTGCCGGCTGATACAATGTGTATGTCGCCGAAGTCCGATTTTAAGAGAATCCTTGCCGCCT